AGTTTAAGAGTTCATGTTGTATTAAGGCAGCAGGGAAAGAAACTCTTTCTGCAATTGGTCAAGGAACCATCATGATTAAGTCACCATTTAAAGAAATTAGACTAGAAGATGTGTGGCTAGTACCAGATATTAATAGAAATTTATTTTCAGTGCTTGCGGCTCAAGATAGAAATCAAAATAGCACTTTTGAATCGACCGCTACCGAGTACACTCTAAAAGTGAATGACCAAATAGTGCTTAAGGGAACACGACAAGTATGAGGATCGTTGTTTACAGCAGGCGTTGAAGTAATGCTACCTGAAAAGAATCCAGAAGTACGAAGCGCAGTAGCAGATTCTTCAATGTTGGAACTTTACCATGCAAGATGGGGGCATCAAGATAAAAGACACGTTAAGAATATGCTTGATAGAGTGTTCGGCATTAAAGTTAAACTTGACAGTAGTATCTGTGAGCCTTGCATATATGGTAAAAGTCATCGCCTACCCTTTGGAACCAGACAGAAAGCAACAAGTCCTGGAGAGTTGTTTACAACGGATATATACGGCTAATTTCATGAATCGTTCAAGAAAAAACGATATATGATTCTGTTCAAGGATAGTTATACCAAGTTTCGGATCGGCTTTATAGTAAAGCAGAAATCAGAAGCAAAAGTCATGTTGAGTAACATGATCTCCTATTGTGCTACATACGGGCACAACATTAAGGAGATGCTAAGTGACAATGGAGGAGAATTCGACAACGCTGAAGTACGAGAGATTCTACAGAAACATGGCATTGTGCAAAGACAGCTCCTTATACGCCGCAGCAGAATGGTAGCATAGAACGAGACAATAGAACAGCTGTGGAAATGGCAAGAACGTTTAAATATTCAAACGAAGAAGTCACATTTCCAGAATCTATATGGGCGGAATTAATTAGCGCCGCTATATATACTCTTAATAGAACTGGAAAATCATCAGTTCCGGATATTAGTCCATTTGAACTCTGGACAGGTAAAAGGCCAAGAATTAAACACTTGCGTATCATAGGGTCTACGTGTTACGCACATATTCCATCGCAAAAAAGGAAGAAAATGGACATGAAGGCTGTAAAAGGTTATTTTTTTGGATATGACGGTGATGAGCGATATAGAATTTATATACCAGAGAAGCATACAGTCATACTTTCTAGAGATGTCAATTTTGTTGAAAGGATTGGTAATTGTGAGCAAAAAGTGGGTTTGATATTTAAAGACGCACCCAAAGAGAAGCTACAAAGCAAAGAGACCGAAGAAGTTGAAGAAAATTCAGATGAGATTGAAAGCGAAGAAACATTAACAGAAAGCGACAGCGAAGACAATTACGAGACTGGAGAAGATGAAAACTACGATACTGAAAGAACGTTACGAGATAGATCAACACTTGTCAAACCAAAAAAATTGAATGATTTTGTCATGGAAGCAGAAGAATTCAATTTGGAAACCAACCCAGAGTCGTTTGCAGAAGCTGTCAGTAGCAAAGAAAGACTTGATTGGCAGAAGTCTATAATGAGCGAAATGAAGTCATTAGAAGAAAACAAAACATGGAAGCTTGTTTCTCTACCGTCCGGTGAGAAAGCATTGCCCTGCAGATGGGTGTTTCGTAAAAAGGAGAATGAAGACGGAAGCATCGACAAGTTTAAGGCCAGACTTGTCATTAAAGGATTCGCTCAGAGACCATGCATCGATTATACCCAAACGTTCAGTCCAGTTGCAAGGATGGGTACGATTTGATCAGTTTTGAGCATTGCAGCAAGCGAAGTCATGCATCTGTCTCAATTTGATGTATCAACCGCGTTTCTTTATGGAGAGCTTGAAGAAACCATTTACATGGGCCAGCCAGAAGGATTCGAAGATGGCACAAACAAGGTGTGCTTATTGAAAAAAAGTTTATACGGGCTAAAGCAAGCACCAAGATGCTGGAATAAACTTTTCGGAGTTTTTCTGACACAACTTGGATTCAAAGTCAATGAAGCAGATCCATGTTTGTATGTCAAAGAGCAAAACGACAAGAAAATAATACTCGTAATCTATGTAAATAATGGTTTGGTTGCAGCAACGGATTTACAAGATCTAAAAAGTTTCACAGGCGAGTTGAGAAAAGAGTTTAAGATTGTCTCAAAAGACGCCACATTTTTCCTTGGATTAGACATCGAGCAACACAAACAGTTCATCAAGATTGGTCAAGCAGGATACGCCAGAAAGATTTTAGATCGTTTTGGATTTGCTGAGTGCAAGCCAGTTTCAACACCGATCATAAAACATACAGAAGCACTTGAACCAGGGAAAAATTTGGCTAACGAAACTGTTCCGAGGCATCACTAAAATGAGAGAGAAATACAAAGGTGATCATGGTAGGGTGGGCACAGCACCTGCTGACGCAACACCAGCAGCGCAGCAGAGACCAGAGGTAGAACCCTTTAAAACGACAATCTAGTTTTCCGTACTCGCTTTCATTTCCAATCTACCACTTTCCTCCAGACATACCAAATACAAAATATACGTGAAAAATAGTAAAGAAACGCACGCGAATTTTAATGACATTAAATATTAGTGATCGAGCAAGTAGCACTGCGGCCTTAAAGAAGAACCACCCCCATATTGCCGACGACCGCCGTAGCCGGAACAAGCGCGTGCTTCGCTTAGCCGCTACACCCATCATCAGCTCGGCCAACAGTAGTAGCGATATACGTTGCATGCTACACGGCCTGACCCCTTTCCAGTGGGGGTGATGCGTACTGCTGACTCGGCATCCCGGTGTAGTAAGAATGATGTTTGCGCATCGTGTCCCTTAGGCTAAACACGAAGGACTTGCATATTCTGCGTTAGGTTATTCGATTGTCTGTCCACTCACCGTGAGGCCAACGCCCAGTAGGGAAAGCGAGTTATTTTATGTGAAGCCACTTGATTAAACGGCTTGGTCCACTTCTCAAATGGATTGCGGCTGCTGCCGTGCATTATCGTGCATTATTTAATCAAAATTTAAATTTTTAGGCCTCCCTTTGGCAAAAGCTGCCTACGCCCTTGAGTACTATCTAGAAAGACTGTACCAAGTAGAGATATTTCAAAGAAATATGATGAACTTTTGAAATATTTGTATTCTTTATTTGGTATTGTATTCGTAAATGTAGAAAGTCTTTGTTCGACAATAACGTGTCAAAATGTAGTCGTCATCTTTTGTATCCATTGCCAGAGATCACGGCTGCAGCTGACGTAGTTCCTCGAACAATCAGCTCCTGCGCGGCCCGCATCGCGAGCATGCAGATATTTTTCGGAAACGTTGTCCAACTTGGGTCTATTTTAGATGGGGAAATGCATATCAGTATTGTGTTATATGTATGAAATAATCAAAGTAATGTCTCTGTATGATAAAAAAAAAATAGAAACATTGCATCGATTTCTCGAAATTAGATTTTTTATCTGATAGATTTTATACGCACACCAGGATTGCATTGAGTAGTTCGCCGAATACGTGATGCTCGTCGAATGGCAATCGGGATATCTCGCATATGGCACGCAGCAAACAAGTAGCGCCTTTCTTGTTGCTATCAAGATTTTCCAAAGATGTCTCTATGATGTCGTAGACCCAGCTGCGCGCTTCATCACGCAATGTTGTTTGCAAGTCCATTCGCCATTCGCGCGCCGTGCTTACAAAAGTCGAGGTATTCCAAAAACTCCACCAGTATAGGGGGATTGTTGTTGGGGTATATACCCATTGCAAGACATAGAACCACCAAAACGATTGCTTTTTGTCCGGTAACTTGGCAGGATGTGCAACGCCGAACACAAACTGCAATGCTCATTTACAATTGTTTGTTTTTATATTATGTAGTTATAAAAGTTCTATACCTTCGAGACCCCCAGACCATCGAAAATCGCCACACGCTTACTGCGTTTTAGCGTGGCCAGTTCTTGACTTCCCGGATGGAATGTGGTGTTGGTGTAGGCCTCGACCACGGCTGCACCACACAGAAGAAGCATCAGTAGAGCAAGTGGTACTTGATGGTTCATGTTGCGCCAAACACGTTTGGATAACTAATGCCGCATCCATACTGTGGAAACATCATCCAATGAGGAATACAGGCACCTAAGAATGGGTTTACTTAACAAATTTGCAGCTACGGTCTTGAGGTGTTCAGTGAGATCGCAGAGTTCTTTCAACAAGTTTGTGACATTGAATGAAATTCATGTATTTGCTATTTCTTTATAAGGGTAAGTCAGAAGTTGATGCAATCATAGAACCCGTTTTCTGTGGAAATGTTGCGGGAGCTTCCATATATCAATTATATTCAAAATATTAAGCAAAGTATTTATATAATTAAAACACAAACATAGTTTTGCTTGTTATAAAATCACATTATCACTTTTGACCGAATTTTGCCACTAACGGTAGTATTATTGAATTACCCAAACGCATTAAATATTTTTATATACTGAGATCTTTGTGTATGGAAGTAGGTAATCGATATTCGTAGGGCATTAAATAAGCGACTTTAAGTTTCTTTTGTTTTCCGCTCCATATTTGTGGACAACCAGTTTCAAAGCAACAACCAATCGGCTGCGGCTTTCCGCTTTGAGGTTGCGCATGCGTTCCAGTTCATTTAACGGTTCTGATTTCTGTACCCGTAGTGTCAACGCCCTACTCATTAACAGGTCTGACTTAAAATGAACTTAATTAACTATCAAAATAAACAAACAACTTCACGATTCCTGTGACGAACGTGCCGGTCAGTTTATGCTTCATAACAACATGGATCGAACAAGGCAACGCATCATCACCACTTACGCCATCATTATTGCTGTTCTCAGCTTACTCCATAAATCGCAGACATATGCCTTTTTGCTGTTTCCCGCCTCATCGACCTTACAAGTCACAGGATCGATATCGATATTTATCGAATTGATAGATAATCGCAAGCTTTTCGTCGATATGGGGTTTCAAATGAATTATGCATTGCCTTTTGATGTGGAATCATTCTACAACATGGCTATTTGGGAAGATCAATTTGCGCGTGGAAAGCGTGAGCTACACAACACTACGCAAAAATACTTAATATCAAATGATCTGGAATCGGGTTACGGGAATGCTAGGCATCCGAATGACATGACCGCCGGTGAGCTGTATTTAGCTATGGAGAATCTGTTGGAAGCCAATGGCATTGATAAAACGTGTCTAATGCGCAGTGTTTGTGAGTTGGCCCACCATCCTATTAGTGAAGATCATGGCTATAGCTACCATCTTCTTGCCAAACTACTGACGTTTATTCTGACGTAAGTTTGCGTGATTTTCAAGCTGCGAACCATTTATGTAATTAACACATGTGTTACAGGCCCTCGCAGCATGATGGTTTCGATGAAAATGAGAAAGAATGTCGGGATAGATATGAGCATGCGGAGCAAGTGGGCTTCCTATCTGGAAATTGTGAACAAATGTTTCCCTACTGTGAGGTGAACTTGTTGGAGTCCATAACAAAATTTATATGAAATAAATGTTGATATAGGCGAGTTGTGTTTCTTTTTGGGCAGACATTTGATTTCAAAGGTCGCGCGCTTTAGACAGTGTTGCCACTGCCCTCGACACTAGCACCTCTTCCTGGAGGGCGCCATATTGAACATGGAAGAACAAGAGAGCACAAAGATGACATGACAGTTCAAGTGGAAGCGTCAGACGCTTATTTCAATATCACAAACTAACGTATAAGTTATTGTGGCATTATTCTTAAGAGAACACAAAATATTAGAGCCTCGCAATTGTATACCCCAGTCTTAGAAAAGGAGGTATCAGAAGAGAATAGGGGAAGCATGTAAGGTCTGTGAGCACTATGTGGGAGGCAGTCCTGGTTCCAATCTAAATAAATAAACAATGGCGGTCGGTGACTTCTATGGGATTAGTCCTTATACATGTTGAAGTTACTGGCATAAACGGTAGGAAGTAAGAAATTAAGTAAGAGGTGGAGCACAACTCTCTACCAAGATGACTCGCCAACTACTTGTAATCCCATTACAAGTCAACAAGCTCACTGAATTACCAATGAATCTAGATCCCTTCGTGAAATCTAAATTCATGAGTCATCAATTTATTAAAAACTAATATTGAAAGTATTTTTATACTCTGTACATAAAATGTCTTATGTGTGAACGCTATATCTCGGAGACTATAAGACCTAGGGACACCAAATTTTAGTCCCAGATGCCTTATGTGAACACGCAGAAAATGTGTATTTTGGAATTTCCCTCCCTCCCCCGTCTCCACCGCAAATCGTAACTCCCGTAATTCTTGGAATTTCGAACTAAAATTTTGCAGTTAGTACTTATGCATACTTAGCAGGAAGTTATAACCATAAATATATTTGCTGCCCAACCGCTGCCCAAGCGCTGCTCGCAGCTGTTGTTGATGCTGATGCTTTGGTTGACTACGAACATGCTTACACAGACACGAATAGACGAGCATAAACATACATACACTGACATAGACGCAATTGCTATGTAAATGTGCAATTAAAAAAAGAGGTAAAATCGTTCAACATTTTTTTTTAATTCTCTTACATTTTTTAATTTCTGTAATTATTCTAAGCAAATATACAGAGTATTTCAAAGTCGGGACACCCGACATTTGCTTTTTTACTTGTTATACCTCTACTTGTAGGGTAAACATAGTATATTAGGTATGTGCATAGTATGTAACAGTCAGAACGAGGCATCTTCGACCCCATAAAGTAAATACATACATACATATGTAAGTAAGTTCCTAGTCCACATGACGAGACGAATCGATCTAGATATTTCCGTCCGTCTGGATGAACACCTGCATACTTGTATTGGAAACCGCTGAGCGCACATTAACTAATCATGGTTTCAGAGAGTTTTTAATGCAGTTTTAATATGTTTTAATAACTAGCAAAATCTTTTCATGTAGGATCAAGGACCCGAAAAGAAACGCAGCATAGGTCAAACCATCATTTATTTTATATAATGTATTTCGTTATAGACTTCAACAAATTCACCTTACAGTTAGGAAACGCTTGTTCACAATCACCAGATAGGAAGCCCACTTGCTCCGCATGCTCATATCTATCCCGACATTCTTTCTCATTTTTATCGAAACCATCATGCTGCGAGGGCCTGTAACAAATACGTGAATAAAAAGGTTCGCAGCTTCAAAAGCACACAATCTTACGTAAGAACAAAAGTGAGAAGCTTGGCGAGTAGATCGACGATATAGCCATTATCTTCACTAATTGGATGGTGAGCCAATTCACAAACACTGCGCATTAGACACGTTTTATCAATGCCATAGTTCTCTAAAAGCCGCTCCAATCCCACATAGAGCTCACCGGCGGTCATGTCATTTGGATGCATAGTATTTCCGTGATGCGAGTCCAGATCATTTGAAGTTAAGTACTTGGTCGTACTGTTATATAACTCACGCTTGCCACGCGCAAATTCATCTTCCCAAATCGCCATGTTGTAGAATGCATCGACAGTATATGGCAGTGCATAATTCATTTGAAGCCCCATATCGACGAAAAGTTTGCGAGTATCTATCAGATCCACTAATATCGATATTGATGATGTTACTTGTAAGACCGAGCTGCTGGGAAACAGCAAAAATGCATGTGTCTGCGATGTACAAAGTAAGCTGACAACAAGAATGGAGATGGCGTAGGCAATGATGATGCGTTGCCTTGTCCGATCCATTTCGGTATGAGGAACAGGCGGGCTGACACGCTCGCCACATAAACCAAGATGTTGCTTTGTTTTTATTTTGCTAATCAATTAATTTCGTTTTAAGTTAGCTGTTAATGAAAAGGCGGTGACAATGCGTGAACAGAAATCAGAAACGTAAAGTGTTAGAACTGGAGCGCATGCGCAACCTCAAAGCGGAAAGCCGCAGCCGATTGGTTGTTGCTTAGAAACTGGTTGTCCATAAATGTGGAGCAGAAAACAATAAATACATCCGAAGAAGTCGTCCAATTAATGCTCTACGGGAATAAACTCATCATATACAAAATTCCTATCAATCAAATTAAGTGCGAAAATAATTTGTTTTCACAACAAAATATATGTTTGTATTTCAAATAAAAAAAATGTCTTCAATATTTTGAAAAGATTGGATAAATCGAAGTCGAAAGTTAATTCTTTGCAAAATCACATATAGAATAGAACAACACATGGATTTCATCCAATGGCACAAACATGATCAGACACATCTGCTATCTCACTGTTCACGACAATAACTGGTCGTTAAATAAATCTATATTTTATTGCCTTTATCTGCATCTGAGATACATTTTTATAACCAGACCAACAGGGTAAAAGGTTTGGATAACCAATTATAGTACACATAGTCTAATAAGCCCAAATCAGGAATAATCACATACACTTTCCCTCTAATATCGCTAATTTTCTTTATGCCTAATTTTCTCATGACAAGTTTCAAAGAGAAAAGTTAAAGCTACAACAAATTTAATACATACTATATTTTAATTGGTTGACCATGATTCAAGCCCGAGCTAAATTTATTATCTGGCTTTCGCAGGTCTAGGTGTTCAACGGGACAAAGCGATAGCCAGATAGACATGCCTTAATCGGCTCATCTTGTCGACTTATCAAGAATATATATACCAGCCTGAACCTAATAAACCCTTGTACATTTCACGTACATGGTATGCAAGTAAATCCTTGCTATAATTTATTTATTTTTTAATTCGTAATTTATTTTAATTTTACAATTTTTGTATTGCTAATTAAAGCAATACACTTCATATTTTAAATAAACTTCGTTCATAAATTACTAGGAAACATGAATTTGCTTATAAGCTGTAAGATATCGTGCTTACAATGAGAATACAATAGCTTACAGTCTTTGCCGAGAAAACCATTAAGTTCAGCTTCTTCATAGGCCTGCTTGTAGATGTGTTCAGTATCGAGAAACCCATTGTGCTGTGAGGGACTAGAGGAAAAATGTAGATGAGAAGCTTGTAGAGGGTTCGTTGCCCGCTTACCTCAAAATAAAGGTTACTAAATCAGTTAAGATAAATTGATATTGATCGTTGAACGGATGTCGAGCTAGTTCACAAACACTGCGTAGCAAACATGTCTCGTCAAATCCATAGCTTGTCAAGAAGTCCTCTATAGCTTCATATAGTTCACCAGCAGAAAAATCTTGCGGATGCATCTGCGCCAAGCCATCTCGTCCATATTTCGCATACATTTCAAATTCAGTTTTATTGCGCGGCAATTCCCGCTTCGTTTGAGCTTGGGTTTGGGGTAAATTCGCGAAACCCGGCCATATGGGTATATTGTAGAAAGAAGAAAGGCTATTGGGTAAGTCGTACCCAACTGAGAAACACCAATCGATTAGAATGCGGCGATCTGGATAGAATGCATGTACTGGTATGGAAACGGACGAGGTTAACTGTTTGAAAGAGCGGATTAGATATAAAATTAAAAGTATCCCCATTTTTTAATTAGCCAGCACGATCGTCAAAATAGTTTTGTCGAGCTGAGCAGTTATCTTCGTCTGCTTTATACTCGAAATATGTACACTATCTGATTTTTCACAAGAAAATATTATGTACTTATTTCGCATTTTGTCATCAATAATTATTATGCGAAACAACAATATTTGGAATATCTTAATAAAGAAAAGATTTCCCACAAAAACTTATTTAAATTCCTATCATTTCTATGACAGCTTTGTAATTTTTTTAAGCCGTTGTACGATTAGTTGTTTTTACTTGTATTCATAAACATTAACTTACTGACATTGAGGTCGACTCGGGATACAGTAAAGCACTGGAATTCGTTATACTGGCTATAACTACTAGCCAAAATGCTAGGAAGTAAAAAGAAGTGAAGCACATCTTTGAACTGTGTTGCTCGAATCAGAAAGGCTAACTGATCTCATTGCAAGTAAACAAGCTCACAGAATCACCAATGAAACTGGGCCTCTTCGAAAAGTCAAATAGATGAAGTCATCAATCTGTTAAAAAACCAATATTGAACGTACTTATTACCAGCATAAATAATGCACAGACGAGTGAAAAGGTTCTAGACGCATGGTCATAATTTACAAATTTCATTTCTTTAGGCGGTTCATCCGCATGTGGGCAGACAACAGAGGTCTAAGTTGCTCAAAATGTTACCGTTTAAGATCTTTTCGTCGCTAGTGCTATGCAGCCTAGTTATGATCTTGTGTCAAGCTAAAATGCAAGTCAAAAGCACGAAATTGAAGTCACCATTGGAGAGAGTTTTTACACGGAGAAAACGATACCTGCACTTCCCAACTGGCTCATTATTCAAATTCACAGGAACTTTAACAAGAGGATTACTTTCGACCTATCCACGAGGCTTGAGCTTTGCTTTGGAGGAAGCTTTATATTTTCCCTTACCTGGCTCGCATCGGGATTGGCATCCCAAATCTTTTTTAACCACGACTTCTACGACAAAAAAGCCGCCGACTAACAATGTTCTTAGCTATTCTGTTATAGCAAACCCAAATCAGACTGTGATAACAAAGCAGCGCCTCGATATGGGAAAACCAAGTTACACTAATTCGCAGAAGTGGGAGCATTGGGCCAAATATGGAGCAGGGCAAGCCGAATATTATGAGCGTTTTCCCTGGCAAGCTGCTAACTGGACAAAGTGGACAACACCAGCTCCCAAATGGTCCCATTGGTCGAAAATTGGCAATAGGAATTATATTAAACAGTCGAATTGGCGACATTATCATGGGCATCGAGATCGAAGGCAATTGTTTGATCACCTTACCAGATTTAGCGAGTTGTAAGTACTATATTCGAAGTTATGATTATAAGTAAGTATATGAACTATGTATTATATTAATCAAAGAGCATGTTTTTTTTTAAAGATTCAGTATGGATATCAAGTCCTGCATTCTGCGTACGATATGTGATAGCAAGCGCTTATTATTGCCTCCAGGCTATTCCATGGTGGAAGACATGTTGCGGGTGCTTTTTACGTAAGTTGGCATCAAATATTTGTTATATTGATCTAACAAGCGACTATATATATTATTTGAGCAGCATGCCAACCATAAATGGATTAGACGATGACTATAGTCGTAGTATGCGGCGAGATGCAGATGAGTGTGTTAAGGAACTAAAGTCCCAATGTAATATGAATGTGTTGATTTGGTTTTTAAGTGGGAAAATAAAAAATAACACATTTTTTAAATAACCAAAAAACCGCCAAATTTTATGGTTAAGAAGTTATGGAGACTGTTTGATAATTCATTTGTTAAATAAAGATTTAAATTCCTGTATGATGTCCCCATTTATAAATTGAGTGCCAGCTTTGCTTTAAAAATTTGTTTGGTTAGTTGCTTTAGAATAATTATTGATCACAAAAAGATACTTTAAACTTTAAATCTCCTCGATAACAGCGAGCATCACAGACGCCTCAAAAGACTCCACTAATTAGAGTTTCCAAATAATTTTTCATTTTAAGCTTCGAAGCCCCATCTTTGATCACAACATTTGTTTAATCTTTTAATCTTGGTAATATGGCACTATTCAAGGCACATGAACTGATTTAATAATTGTTCTTATGAGGCAAACCTTAATAAAGCAACAATTAAAAAAACAGGCGGCTAAGCAGAATAAATAAATATCATCACAAATGTGCTGCTTTTAAGATCTCTCGGATAGTCGGGTAGACTTGTAATCTTTTGGATTATTCGAAGTAATTTTGTAACTGGACTAATTTGGCTCGTAAAAGGGTATTATTGTAGGAGCGCCCTTTACAATTAGAAACTGGATCATCAATTGTTGAAATGGTACATGATTTACTTTTGCAAAATATAAGTACATGTTTCTACATAGATCTATTTATAGAGCAGGAAAATACAAGTAGAATGGATTTTAATTTATTTATCTTTAAAACAAGATTTAAAAAATAATCAAAAAGTGGGGCACTGTACAAATAATCTCTTCAATCAATGTACCGCTATACACCTAAGTGCGGATTTGTATGCATACTTGTCAAATGGACGTATTTATTTTTCAAATTTACAACAAATCAATGATGATTAACTTGTAGAGCAAACCAATCATCCGAAATTGGATTGGCCCTGCTTAGGTTGACTTGCCGCTACGATAACTCAATCAGTGTGGGTCCAACGATGCGCTGGGGAGTTTTAATTCTGTTTTTCCAACTTGTCGCCATTTGTTTGACGGCTCTTGCAGAGCCTGAAAATGCATTCAGTGAACTGAATCACGTTGTGCAACGCGTTTTTACGCGTCAAAAACGTTTTCTGATTTTCCTAAAGGGTGCCAATATGAAATTTACCGGTTCCATTAGCAAAAGTGTGATAGCGCGCTTTCCCAAAGGTGTTAACATGGCACTGGAAGAGGCGCTTTATTATCCTGTGCCACGGAGTCGCGAAGATTTGTATCCAAAGGCTTTTAAGACCAAAACAACAGAAGCACCAAAAATATCTACGACTCAATCTTACGTTTGGATACCGGGCACAAACTGGCGTTTCAAAGCCCAACATGTGCCACCATATCAACTCGTTCCATTTAAACCTCTCGGTTATGAAAGACCTCCCCCAAAACCCAAACACAGGATCGATGTATCACCACCCACTTATGCCAACCCCAACAAATGGCAGAAGTGGTCTAAATATGGACAGAATAATACGTATTGGAGGCCAGAATATGAGCATTATAAGAAATACAAGTATGCACAAGTCGAACAGCCCGCAGCAAACATGAAATGGCGAAAAAGGCCAACAGGTTCGTCTAAATATGATCATTACATTGACAATTGGACATCGCATGGACAGCACGGACAGTCGTGGAAGTCAGATGTACCAGACAAGTGGTCGAAATGGACAACAGTATCCCCCAAATGGACGAACTATGGCAATCGTTGGTACAGGGATGTGGAACAGAGCAATAACGAGGAGAAAGCCGAATTTTATGATCCCCACAGTGCTCCTTATGAATTATATGACTATGCGGATCTGACCCCTCTTAGAGATTGGCGGCATTATCATGCGCATCGCGATCGCCGACAGTTGTTTGATCAACTTTCTGGTTTCAGTCGTCTGTGAGTAAATTTGCAAATAGATTGATTTATTGCTGCCTGTTCAGTTAATTAGATGTGATTTGATTTGCAATAATTTTAAAATTTCTATTCGACCAGACTTGGCTTCGATGTAAAGACTTGCATTTTACGAGCCATGTGCGACAGCAAGCGATTACTGTTGCCACCGGGCTATTCCATGATGCAGGACATAATACGACTGATCTTCACGTAAGTTATTCCATTAACCCTATAACGCATGTTTAAAACGCTAAACGATGTATACAGAATGCCCACCATAACGGGCGTGGATGATGAATACAGTCAGGCAATGCGTATGGATCCCGAACACTGTGCCCAACATTTTCGTCAGCAATGCAAGGTAGATATACTGGCTTGGCTTTTCAGTGGTCATTAAAATAAGAACAAAAGCAGAACCCATTTATTCAACTCGTTTTATTGTACAAAGTTTGCCTCCCACATGGATTGCTTGCATTCTGGATAGAGAGCGGCACAATCTCCGTTGTGGGCATGGGCCTTGTCATAGCGTGCATTCTGATAGGCGACCGGTTCGTCCTCCAATGCTTCGGGAATGGTAAAGACGGCGCGCATGAGTTCGCCCACAAAAGTGCCCGGCTCCTTTTCATGGGACTTTTGACCAGTTTCGCATAGTGTACGCAAAACGCAGTGATGACCGTGCTGACCACGTCTATAGGGTGAGAGAAGATGGGGAAATTTGAACCAAGGGATTACATTCTGGGGAATGATTAGTGTATAATAGTTCTCTGAATAATCGAAATGGTTGAACTGGTTGGCTAGTTTTGGTTTTGCTAACTAAGATTCTTGTTCATTTAACTCACTTATTCAAATACTTTTCGATGCGTTCATATAATGCCTGTCGACTAGTGCGATGATACTTGATTTGTATGCGATCCAATCTGCTTAGCTCGGCCTCGCTTTCGCTGGCCACACCACTACGTCGCTGGCGATGGTGCGGATTGCCTGGATCCGGTATACTGCGTTTTCCAAACACCGAAAAAATACGATGATGGCGTGTAAACGGTTTCCTTGAGGTTATATACGTGCCCCCGTCTGGCGCAACGCCCTGACGTCTTTCGAGTGGGGGTGATGCGTACTGCTGACTCGGCATCCCGGTGTAGTAAGAATGATGTTTGCGCATCGTGTCCCTTAGGCTAAACACGAAGGACTTGCATATTCTGCGTTAGGTTATTCGATTGTCTGTCCACTCACCGTGAGGCCAACGCCCAGTAGGGAAAGCGAGTTATTTTATGTGAAGCCACTTGATTAAACGGCTTGGTCCACTTCTCGAATGGATTGCGGCTGCTGCTGTCCCGATTGTAGTAGGAGTAGTAGTGATTATCCTTTCTACGCCAGCCGGGAGGGACTGTTGGTCGGCGGTAGTAACTGTCCGCGTATTTATAAGAAGGATGCATGGGTGTGTGAAAAACAGGCGCCATGCTGTAATAGGCATTGCTTGCACTGGGCTTCGCAAAGTTAATATAATTGGGGCTATAGCCAGTGTAACTTCCTGGAGAACCTTGTTGTGGCTGCTTGGCGTTATCCACGTAAGTAATATTTGACGCCGTGTCATTGCGACTAACTTCTATGTTGCCTTCGTCAAGGAGCTTTGTGCGAACATCTTCAAGGAGCTCGCTGGGCGGCTTACTCGGTAATTCCCAAGCCAAGGCGACGGTAATTCCCAGCACCAAATAATTGGTGAAGTCCACCACACATACGTATTCATCGTACACTGTGTGCGTTAGGAGAAGCATGTCATTTGCATGGAGACTGCGAGTAGCACGACTTACCCATCTGAAAGGAGCTGCCTTCCGGAAATACCAAATAGCGTCGTTTCCTGGACAATACGTCCTGTGAGTGCACATGTCCGTGTTGCTTGGCTGTCTCATTTAGCTTCGATTCAATGAGTTGCTCCAAATTGGAGGCCTCCGGTGCTGTGTGTAAGTCAAGGGATGGTTTCGCTGTCCCCAACCCAATGACAGCTGTAGGGTCCGCTTTCGGCTCAGCCTGACTGGGGCATATTAGCGAGAGAAGCAGTGGAAGAAGAAGAACAATTGGTAACTGCAGCAAACAATTGCAAGCATTTTCATGAGAGTAGCTTGTTTTGTTCCTGACGCACATTTCCAACACTTGCGGCTCACGCTTCGTTCATGCGCCAACTGTTGGCACCAAGTTGTGCGCTCGCTGGCCAAAACATTTCCAAGCCGATGGGCAAATGGACTACAAAAGCGGCGCACACTCGCTGTCTGTTAATTGCTTCAGTCGGTCTAGTTGGTCGCCATGGCTGCGAGAACTTTCCGAAGTTTGACTTGGCAGCAGCGCTTTTCGTATATCTATCAACGCCTTCTCCTCTTTCTTCGTTAGTTTTCACACTTGTCTCTGTCTCTCCTTCTCTGACTCTGTGTCTGCCTCCGCCGCGTCTTCTGTTCTGTTTTGTTTTATTTTGTCAAGCAGTTTGTCTTTGGCTCCGAGAGCTCATTGCTCCATTTAAAGCTTCAAATTACTTTGGCACGCTTGGAACTTTTCTCGAAAGTGGCACACTTTGTGTGTTTCCCTTTTGGTGTCTTGTCTAACGTTTCCCAATGCGTTCCGTGCAAAACGGAATACCGAATAATAAAATAAACTGCAGAAATGCAACGGAATTATTGGTAATGCGATCGCTTGCTGCTTATTATGAAGAGCGAAACAACTTGCAGTGACAGTCCAACATGATGAAGTTCAGAAGTATTGGTGCAATTGGAAGAGCGGGTAACTCTGATGTCCGTGACAGTTGATTAAAATTGTAAATCTGAGCTACAGAGCTGAGAAATGCACAGAATGCATTTGGGAGTTTGCACAAAGCGTATGAAGAGATGAACTGAGAAGCTTTTTTCATCTGCCCTTAAAACTATTTGTATGCTCTACACTCTGATTTATAACAGAGCCTTATAAAATATTACTCATTTATTCCTTAAATAAATAAATTTATATTTGTCTATTAACCCACTGGCCCTTAAATAACTTTAAGATCTTAGCTTAGATTATATTGTAAAGACATCCAGGGCATTGCCATAATCTCGAATATCGCGCATATCACACATCGGTTAGAAAAATAAAATGCATCATATTTGATATATGTACTATACATGCTATAGATAGGTTAAAAGTCAAACTGCCCGATGCGGAGTAGTATTACTGAGATAAACTTGCTTCACTCTCTTTGCCATGTCCAAGTTTAAAGATTACCTCGATCAGATCACATATTTGCCCTGTAACCTATGTTTTCTATTCCAATTAATAGTGTAGTATATAGAACAGTAGTGTAGGAGTGGTAGAATATAACACAGTAGCCCTGCCATACTGCAGCCCTGGTTAGGAAATGACAGTTGGCATATGCAAAAGGGAAGAGAAGGAAATGAAAGAAAACGAAGTACAGCATAAGTAGCATCAGATCAGTGAGTCGGGCCTGAGTTGTTGAGGCAGAAAGAGGTATTGAGTGTGCTCGTGCTAAAATCAAACGATGAATTAAATAAATGTTAAATAATAAATAATCTAACAGACCTACATACCTAATGTTAATTATACAATAAAATAATTGAGAAAACTAAAGTGAGTGTATAATTTAATCGGAGTAAGGCCCTCGACAACCCATGCCCTACAATCTTGGGGGCTCAACCGTTTTTTGTGCAGTGAAACCCGAAGAACAATACCATAAAGGCATCATAACAATCATTAAATTGTTTGTTTTTCGACGTTTCGTAAAATTGCACAGAATACATAAAAAAAAAAAACAATTTTGGAGTGCACGAGGCATAATTTTTCTTTTGGACGCCTAAATGCATAGAAAGCGGCGAACATTTGAGAAACTCAAACCAACAAGGCGCCAGTGAGACAGCCTGTGAGACAGCAGCGTGGCACGTTTAAAACCGACGCATGCGAGCGAGACAAGCAGATGGCAACAAAATCATAAGTGTGCAACAACCGAAGGTCAGAACGATCACAAGGTGTTCATATCGGCATCAACCGTTACACAGCAGAGATCGACTGTACCGAAAAAGAAGCAGCGAGCAGAGTAAGCGGCGACGGCGTAGCAAGAGAGCTACGACAACAGCAGCGAGCAGAGTAGGCAGCGACGGCGTAGCAAGAGAGCTACGACAACAGCAGCGACCAGAGTAAGCAGCGGCGGCGTAGCAAGAGAGCTACGACAACAGCAGCGAGCAGAGTAAGCAGCGACGGCGTAGCAAGAGAGCTACGACAACAACAGAGTAAGCAGCGACGGCGGCGAGGTGAACATAGATCGACGACGACGGTGAGCAGAGTAAGCAACAACAGAGAGAAGAGTAAGCGGCGTGTCTTATTGCCAGAATAAGAGAGTACCGGCGGTGAAGAGAACAGAACAGAAGAAGAAACAACAAGACGCAGCCAAGAGGGTGGAAAATCATACAACGGCAAACAGTGGAGCAAGTTTGCTAAACAAGTAAATATAACACTAATTATATTTAACAAATTGGCAAATTACAAGCAAAAGAAGATTTTTGAATATATATGTTTACCATAAAAGCACAAATATTCCAATGAATTTTGTAAAATAGAATAAGTTTACTAACTTTGTATTTAAGGTGTATTATGTTGTACCACGAGATAGCACAACTCAAAGTTCCAGAGCTAAAAAAAATTTTAAGTGAATTAGGTTTGCCAACAGATGGGCTAAAAGTTCAGTTGCAGGAAACTTTATCGAGATATTATTCTAAAGGAGGAGATTCTGAGGCAAGTTCAATATACGAAGAGAGTGTAGCAGAAGGTGCAGGTATTTCAGAGCAAATTGAAAATATACAGCAAGACGTTCAAGAGAGAGGATCTGAATCTAGCAACAAAATGACGTTCACATTAAGAGATATTCAAGACTCTATGACAACTTTCGATGGTAGCGGAAGCTATGACGTTGTCGATTGGTTAAGAGAGTTTGAAAATAATGCTCTTACTGTACAGTGGAACGATTTGCAAAAATTTATATATGGCAGGCAATTACTTCAAGGAGGAGCAAAGCTGTTTATAAATTCTAAAGAAGTGCTAAACGATTGGCGTACGCTAAAAAATGCATTAGAAGATGAGTTCAGCACAAAGTTTACGGCAAAGCAAATACATAAACTATTGGAAAATAGAAAGAAAAAATCCGATGAGAGTTTAAATGAATATTATTACAGCATGCTGAGTTTAGCTAATAAAACCAAACTGGATGAGGAGAGTATCATTGAATATATCATTGAGGGTATTCCAGATTCAAAAGTAAATAAAAGTATTTTATACCAGGCAATTACAGTAAAAGAGTTACGCGACAAGCTAAGAATTTATGAGAAAATAGCATCAGGTAGAGAATGGAAACCGAAAACAAAGTTTGAAACAAATGAACAAAAGAAGTTTAAAGAGGATATTCGTTGTTTTAAGTGCGGAGGGAAAAACCACCTAGCCAAAAACTGCAGAGAACCAAATATAAAATGTTTTAAATGCAATGAGTTTGGGCACAAGGCTAATCAATGCGAGGTGAAAAATGAACATGCATTGGTAAAGAAAGATAAATCAAACTTGCAGCAGCTATCGCAAAGCGTTTTTAATAGAGTTTTCATAAATGTCCAGATAGGTAAACATGTCTTGTCAGCTCTGTTCGATTCAGGCAGTGATATATGCACCATCAGCGAGAAAAGTTACAAAGCGATACATCCAGTTACTCTAAACCGAGACATAAAAGAACTTATAGGTATAGGAGGCAAAAAAATTTATACATTGGGTTCTTTTAGAGTACATACACAATTGGATTCTAATCCAATAGCGATTAGTTTTCATGTAGTTCGAAATGAAGATACTTTATACGACGGTGTCATTGGAAGCGATGTCTTAGAGTTCGTCAACGTGACCCTTACAGCTAAAGGCATTAGTTGCCAAGCCAGAGAAAATGTTTTAAATGAAGCAACAAAATATCAGGAAAGTAAAAACAAAGAAGAAGATAAAATACCGGAGTTAAAAAATACATTTAGCCAACTACTAACAATGGAAGTTGCTAAAGAGTCGAGTAAGCTTGACTTTTTCCATCTAAAGAGCGAAATTAAAACTGAAGTAGAAAGCATGATTGATAGTTACAAGTATAGAAAGCCAGAGAGTAGTCCAGTAGAGATGAGCATTATATTAACAGACGAAGCACCAATTTATCAGAGGCCTAGGCGATTGTCAATTGAAGAGCAGGAAAAGGTGGACAAGCAGGTTGAGGATTGGCTCAAAGAAGGAATAATTCGTCAAAGTTTTTCCGAATTTGCTTCTCCTATTGTACTTGTGTCAAAAAAAGATGGTACCAAGAGATTATGCTGTGACTATAGAAAGCTCAATTCAAAAATCGTCAGAGATAATTTTCCGATGGCAACAATCGACGATGTTCTTTGCAAGCTTCAGAAAGGGAATATGTTCACAACATTAGATCTTAGAAATGGATTTTTCCACGTTCCTATTAATGAAAATTCCCGAAAATATACAGCTTTCGTCACGCAAAAAGGGCAATACGAGTTTTGTTTTGTTCCTTTTGGTATTTCAAACTCCCCTGCTGTATTCATGAGGTATATATTTGCAGTATTGAGACCACTAATAGACAAAGGAACAGTTATTTTGTATATGGACGATATAATCATTCCTTCAAAAGACGAACAAGAAGGTTTAAAAAAGTTAAAGGACGTGTTGAGTTTGGCAGAAGTTTCAGGCCTTAGGATTAAATGGGAAAAATGTCAGTTCTTAAAACGAAGAGTAACGTTCCTAGGGTATATAATCGAAAACGGTTCGATAACTCCATCAAAAGAGAAAACTTCAGCAGTTAACAATTTTCCAGTTCCTCGAGACAAAAAGGCAGTTCAACGTTTTTTAGGTTTAACCTCTTATTTTCGCAAATTTGTACAAGATTTTGCCATAGTGGCCAGACCTTTGACCAATCTAATGAAAAACAATGTGACTTTTAGGATGGAAGCAGAAGAATTAGCATCGTTTCAGGAGCTTAAATTACGTTTGACTAATTCACCAATTCTACGTTTATTTGATCCAAAGATTAGTACCGAAGTGCATTGCGACGCGAGTATGTATGGATATGGTTCTGTACTAATGCAAAAAGATTCCGTAGACCAACTTTATCACCCAGTCGAGTATATGAGTCGTAAAACTACCGCAGCCGAAGAGAAGTACTCGTCTTACGAATTAGAAGTTCTCGCGATAATCCAGGCTTTGAAAAAATGGAGAATTTATTTGCTAGGACGAAAAATTAAAATAGTGACGGACTGCAACGCTTTTGCTATGACCATTAAAAAACAGGATGTTCCTTTAAGAGTAGCAAGGTGGGCGATTTTTCTTCAGGATTTTGAATATATAATTGAACACAGAGCAGGAACGAAAATGAAGCATGTTGATGCTTTGAGCAGAGTACACTGTTTGTTGATTCAAGATTCTTTAAGACACCGCATTAAACAGGCACAATGTCAAGACGAATGGATAAATGCTATTTTTAAGGCATTGGAAACAGGAATTTATAAAGATTATTACATTAAACACGAAGTATTGTACAAGGATTTAGTGAGAGAATTAATAGTTATACCCTCAAAGATGGAACACGAAATTATTACAATGGCACACCGCCAGGGACACTACGGTGTTAAAAAGACCAGTGAACTTATCCAAAAACAGTATTATATACCAGATTTAGCAAAAAAGGTTGAAGCGATTATAAAATCATGCGTAGAGTGCATCGTAGGTGAGCAAAAACATAGCAAGAAAGAAGGTTTCCTCAATGCAATCGATAAATCAGATGAGCCTTTGAAGACTTTTCACATCGATCACATTGGTCCAATGGACACAACAAAGAAACAGTATAACCATATATTAGTGGTTGTAGATGCATTTTCCAAGTTTGTTTGGCTATACCCAACAAAAAGTACTGGTGCAGAAGAAGTTGTAGATAAACTGCAAAAGCAATCAGCAGTATTCGGTAATCCAATGCGAATGATCACAGACAGAGGCACAGCTTTTACTTCAAACGTTTTCAAAGAATATTGTGAATCAGAAAATATTCAGCATTTATTAATAGCCACAGGTGTACCACGAGGTAATGGACAGGTAGAAAGAATCAATAGAATTGTCATTACTATGTTGAGTAAGCTATGTGCTGAAAATCCACAAGTCTGGTACAAAAACGTCAATAGAGTCCAGCAGTTTATTAACACATCTCCTCCAAGAAGTACTAAAGTGTCTCCTTTTAAAATATTAACAGGCATAAATATGAGAACAAAAAACGATCCCGAACTCAAGGTGTTGCTGGAGGACGAACTCCTCAATGAATTGCAAACCGAAAAAGATGAAATTCGTAAAGCTGTAAAAGAAAATATTGCACATATTCAGGAAGAAAATCGACAGTCATATAATAAATCTAGGAAAACTGAGAATGAGTATGAAGTCGACGACATGGTAGCAATAAAACGTACACAGTTTGGACCAGGACTTAAATTAAAAAGGAAATTTCTAGGGCCCTACAAGGTAGTTCGAAAGTTACGACATGGGCGCTATGTAGTGGAAAAGATAGGAGAAGATGAGGGACCAAATACAACAAACACTGTTGCAGAATTTATGAAAAGATGGTGTCCATCATTCGGGACGAATGTCTTGTCGGATGGCCGAATGTAGGAGTGGTAGAATATAACACAGTAGCCCTGCCATACTGCAGCTCTGGTTAGGAAATGACAGTTGGCATATGCAAAAGGGAAGAGAAGGAAATGAAAGAAAACGAAGTACAGCATAAGTAGCATCAGATCAGTGAGTCGGGCCTGAGTTGTTGAGGCAGAAAGAGGTATTGAGTGTGCTCGTGCTAAAATCAAACGATGAATTAAATAAATGTTAAATAATAAATAATCTAACAGACCTACATACCTAATGTTAATTATACAATAAAATAATTGAGAAAACTAAAGTGAGTGTATAATTTAATCGGAGTAAGGCCCTCGACAACCCATGCCCTACAGTAGTATAGCGTCATTTTTTAATCCAACCAGAAGGTGTGACTGCAATCACTGTACAATTGTGCACAGTCTCCACCTTGCGCGTGGGTCTCCAGGTAATGCAATGAAATGTACTTTTCCGTCCCATCAGTATTATTGTTAGCACGCGTTGGCAACTGAAATATTGCAGATAGTAACTCCATTATAAAACTTTGTGGTTGCGCTGTCCCCTTAAGCCTTTCTCTCGATTCGCAAAGTGCACGAAGCACGCAGGCAGTGCCATTTAGTTTTTGACTGAAACGAGATTCTGATGATAAAGCCCAATGTTGGCTTATAATTATGCTTCAGAAGCACTTACGCCGTATATAACCTTTCAATCTTTCGGAAAAGCATTTCCCGCGAGGTCAAATGCATCTTTAAATGAATGCGATCGAAAGCAGCATCTGTATCCAAGCTCCGGCGTCGTCTTCTTCGTTTGCCAAACACAGGATAAACGCGATGAGTAGGAGGAGCTTGCAGCAGTTTTCTTTGACGTCCAGTACGTCCAGGGGTGTAATAATTATTGCTGTGAATAATTAATAATGTAATCTATTAATGACATTTAATTTACAAGTATGTTCCCCTCTAAGCAACATGCAGCTTCAGCCTTTAACTTGGTCGAACTTTTCACAGTTTTCCTATTTTTACGATTTGTAGCTACTCACAGAATTTAAAAGTTAGAGTTTCTAAATGATATAAGTATTACACGTTTTACAAGTTAGATCTAAAAGGGTAATGTTTAGCGCAAGAGAGGATCTGGGAAATATAAGAAAAGCTTACAATAACCAAACTTAGTATGAAGTTATTTTTACCACAATCTCTATTTAATGAGGCTATATGTTTGGCCGTGGTTTCTCATAAACTTGCGCTTCATAAGTATGGGAAAAGTCTACACACCAAGTTTAGCGACCTTACCTGATATGATTAAAATTCGTGTACCCGTAGACCGGCAGGTCCACATACTTGTATATCGATTCGTCTAGTCAGGATGATCAGATTCAAAATACAATATACAAAGTACTTAGAATGCATTTTGGCAAGGCATATGACTAAACAAAAGAGGAATGCTTAAGTCGAGCCGGCTAATCTCTTAAATACCCTGTACCAACCCACAAAAAAAATTTATTAAATAATTTAATAAATTTAATTAATTAATTAAATTAAATATAAAATATTCCATACATTCATTTACATTTATTCTAGCTCTTATAATTATACCGGACAACAGACGGACAGACGGACCTGGCTATATCGACTCGGCTTGCGATTCTGATCAAGAATATATATACTTTCTGGGGTCTGCCACGCCTCCTTCTGTGTGCTCCATGTACACTCGCACAAAACTAATATACCCTTTTACCCTTTGGGTACATCGTATAAAAATAATTTTACTTAGCACGAAACTTTTTGTCTGTTACGAAATTGTTTATTATTTTTGTTCAGATTGAAATGCATAGCTGCAGCATACATACATATGTACACGTATATATATATTTATATATTTAATAAGTAATTTTGTATAAAGTTTGCTGTTTAATAAAGACTTAAAGGAGCAGAAACTTACCGCGACGATGGTTCATAGGTGCTCCACAGGCGTTGCTTATCACGCCAATTTTCTTCGATACGCGCTTTATTGCGCTCCCACCAATTGTTCTTGCCATTGTTGTATTTTTTATCGTAGTTGTTGCTGTTGCTGTTGCTTTTATAGGGGAGCTGCGATGCGCCGCTTGACCACTGGCCAGGCTGCTGCCAATGCCAGCTTCCCGCAGGCTGTCGCGCATGCCAATTAGCCGGGCCCATGCCAATGTCGGTGGCACCAGCCTCCGTTTGCCATGGCCGCTGTGCATTTGCATTTGCATAAGCGGAAGTGGCAGCGTCGCGCCAACCATTTGTATAGTGGTGGCCAGTGGGCAATGGAGGGGACTTTGGTGGCGGGGGCGGAGATGGCGTCGCCTTTGTCTGTTGATTTGACTGCGCGTGCAACGCATGCCAATTAGCAGGCGGTCGATAGTAGGCATCCTTTGGCGGAGCCGCCACACTGTCATTGCGTCGCACTACGCCCAGAGTCCCGTCGTTCAGACGTGTGCGCACATTTTCAATCAGTTCGCTGGCCGGCTTACTGGGCAACTCCCAGGCCACGGCGCATGTGATGCCCATGATGGCGAAATTCGTGTAGTCCACGATGGGTATGATTAAGTCGAAGACCAGTTGAAATGAGCTGCCCTCGGGAAAGAGTAGATAGCGTTTGTGGCGATGCAGTCGCACCAGCAATTCATGTTCTTTCTCTTCTTGTTGTTGCTGAAAACTGTTCAAATTTGTTGCAGGCGGCAACGTCAATTTATTTAATTCATGCGTCACATTAATGTGAATGTCACTTGGCTTGCCCCTCGGCAGCTGCAGCAGTTGAGGCCCCAGGAACAGTAGTCCTAGTGTCACGACTGCCATTACGCAACCAATTACTTTGATTGTTTTTGCCATTTTGGCCTTGTGTCGCTTTATTGCTGTTTTTGAAATGGGCAAAAGGCACTTCTATAATTGAGTAATTGCGCAGCGCGCGTTCCTTCCAACTAATATTTTCTCTGCACTCAGATGGTTGCTTTAAAATTAAAAAGAGAAATTAAGAAATTTTAATCTGTTCTACTTATACTACTTATATATAAGAGGCTATAGCTTCGGATAAACAAACTAATACTTTTCTGTGTTTTAAAATTAAAAAGAGAAATTAAGATATTTTCATACTTGGTATACTTATACTACTTTTCATACTACTTATACTTATATAATATTTTCTGGCCACTCAGAAGGGTGCTTTAGAATTAAAAATATAAATTGAGAACTATTAATATATCTGTTCTACTTACTTCCTATTCTTATATATTTATCCGAAATAAACAAACTAATAATTTTCTGTGCATTCAGATGGTTGTTTTAAAATTAAAAGGAGAAATTGAGAAATTTGAACATATCTGTTCTTCTTATACAACTTATACATGGAAGGATTTAGCTTCGGATAAAATTCAAATTTCGCTCACGAGAATAAGTTGTGTTATAAAGAAATTATATAGGTGTACAAGAACTACATACGACAGGATTAATAAAATTGCAACATACTATGTCAATAATATTCTGTAAATGGAGCCAACTGGCAAATAAAATTCCCCCAACGTGTCGGGGGCATTTATACACGTTATTGTACAGCTTTTTCGTAGGCTTTCTTAGAGACTATGCTATATTAATCATATTTGAATTTTTAATTTTAAATCTTAATATATATATAAAATGTTAATACTTATATATTGTTATTGAATAAATCGACTGATCCACTTGTTGATTTAAATAAAAAAATTTGTATATCGAATTATTGGGTTTTCTTAATGCATTTTTATTACGATTGAGTGCAACGCTCTAATTCTTTTTATACATTTAATAATAACTTTCAATTTTATTCACAAGCTTATGAATTGTGAATATTGGTATTATTTTTTCTTGAAGGCAGCTGCAGCTTTTTTTTGCACTCAACCAAATTAAATATTAATTTTTTTTTTAACTGTCAACTAGTGTACGTAGGTTCTTTTTAATGGGACTTAATTTGTAGAAAAAGCTTTAAACGTTCTTTCTATATTTTTTACAAGATATACTCACACAGTAAAATGGAATAACATGAATCTTGAAGCTAATACAAACTGAATGGATATATACCAAGTAAATGATGCCTTGATGCCCTTTTCGCTTCCCTCTCCTTTATTTTATTACATTTTACTCTCACACCAATTTGCATAATTTCACTTTAGCACTTTGGCCACATCGTCCTCCATTGGTATCTTGTTGGCTATAACGCGTCGCTTTACCAATCATGCGTTAAATTAATGCAATTTTCGTTGTACAAGTATTTTCAACGCGCTCTTCAAACTTTCTGTCTGTCGCTGTCTACTGGTCTCCACTGCTGCCCAACTGCGCTGCACTGCGTCTCTTTCACAATTAAAACGCTTCCATTTTCAATGCCTCAAGCGCAATTGAACACAAATGTATGATGCAGATAATTACCATTAGAGAGTGGCGGGCTACTTTTTTGTACACTCGTTATGTTGTTGGGACCACTAGCTGTCAGTGTCGGACTGATGATATGGCGAACTCTTTTCGATACTCGTGGGCTGTCCTATTTTCCATCTCGCTTTGGTCACTTGGTGGGTCAGTAGTGTTTAATTGTACAATTAACACCCAATTGAGTGTCGTTAACTCGTTTTGTATCATTTAAAACCGCATTAAAGGTGCTAAATGTCTCTGTCGATAAAACGGCGATGTACATAAATGAAGCACATTTTAGATTTACTTAAAGAACACAATTCTAAATTTGTCATTAAGATAGAGATAAATTTTTAATTTTTTTAGCAATGCTTACGAATATTTCCCGGAATTCCACTGACACACATATTTAATTATCGCCTCTTAATTTATGTGATGATTTCCGCGGAATTCAATTTGATTGAAACACATAATGTTAGGGCGTATACAGTTACGTTAGGGGGATGCGAAGTCGAGTGTATACTGGCAGGCGATGCACCATCCTTAAACTTTGCTCACATGCCGTACACAAACACATAAGCGAATGGAAAATTTTGGAATTCAACTCGCACACATACGCTTACGCAGCTTCCCAATGACGCTTATTAAAGTTTGAGTTGTACTCGCGAGCGAACATTTTCGGCACTGATGCAGGACTGCGGAATTGTAAGAAAGAGGTTTTGGTGGATTAGGAGGGGAAGAAGGGGAAGGAGTGGGCCAAAATGTTATTGCAAAAACTTGAAACACAAAAATTAAACGCTGCCTTTTGTCAACGGTGCGTATGTGTGATAATTGGGAACAATAGCGAAGTGGTGCGGTACGGGGCATGTTAATACTTCCGTATTTGCGTTCAACTGCAACATGGCAGCATTACATGAACGCAACTGTGTGTGTCTTTTTGTGTGGATGTGTACTCATGTAGACGCTAGTTTGCCGCCGACATTCACGCCTCGCTGAGCTTTTTACATACATGCTGTTGCCTGCGGGCATTAAGTGTGATTTTATGCGATTTGTACTTGTGTTGCAGTTGCAAAAGAAAAAACCACAGCCGCAGTAGTAGCAGCAGCAGCAGCAGCAGCCGACCCACACACATACTCAAACATATATTGTACACATTCGTATGTACTTTCATACACACATGCATAGATTCAACACCACCTCCCCCTTTTGCTAATTTACATTTGACAAATGTTTGCATGCTACGAAAATTTTAGCCATTGCTGCAATGACTGTGACTGCTGTTCGTTAGTGTGCCCCGCCCCCTGGCGCACGATTTAGCCACCTCTAGAGCCACTCTACACGCCCCACGCGACCACAGTTGGGTTGTTTGCTGCATTTGTTTTCATTTGGTTTCTATGTTGACATTGTTTACAGTTCAACTTGGTAAAAATTAGCAAAAATGTCACACAACAAAACCAAAACAAAGGAAATGGTAAACCGAAAGCAGCAGAAAATTTGCTTAAATTTAAATTTATGTTATTTCTTTTTTGTATTTTTGTTTTGTTTCTACTTCTCTACATGTGTGTGCGGTGAGCGATAATTGTGGCAAAACGTGCAGCTGTGTATGTTCCAGCATTTGTTGTGTGAGTATAAAGTTGTGGAAGATTGCATGTGGATTTGGGGGCTTTAAGTGTTGGGCTAAAACTGTGAAATGTGGCAAATGGGATGTAAGTGGAAGAAAATAGAATAAAGCAAAATAATGGACTTATGTAGACTTCCAACACAATCTATATGATGATAATAATTGTGGATGTGCTGAAATTTGTAAAAACGAAGAGAAGCCAATATATTAGGAGATCAACCGACCAGGAAACCAATAAGTATATGGGTTTCACTCCTTGCATATATAAAATCTTATTTAGCTAACCAAGATAATATGTATTTGAAAACCCAAAATCTCAAGTGCAATAATAAATAACAATTAAATATTTCGGAATAAATTTTGTATAACCCGTACCCAAAGGGTAAAAGGTAATTTTGTATATAATTAATATTATAATTTATAGATTTTTGTAAAATGGTCAGAGAGATCAGGTCTTCATGTATTTTAAACATAATTTTTAAAAGATATTTGTATTTAACCAATTTGATTACAAACACTATTTATAATAAATGGAACTTAATATTTTTTACAAAAATATTTGCAATTTATTGAAATAGCGTAATTTATTTGCGTTGAGTAAGTTATTAACGGAAATATGTTGAATTATGTGGTACCATGTTTTTATGTTTTAAGCTATATATGTATAATATAAATATATACACAATAATATAAATATTATACATATATAGGTTATAAAAGCGAAATAGAAACATCAGCTTGCTTGGTAAACATAATATTAATATATAATTTTATTATATAATATAATTATATTATAATGTTATTAATAATTATGTAATTTTATAAATATATAATTTTATTATGTATAATAAAACTCGATTTCATTGATTTCTTGCATTGGTCTTTCAACCTTCTTACATTCTCCACTCTACGTTCATTGTAAAAAAATAATAACAAACTCTTACTTATGCCCTAGTCTGATAACTTTTCTATTAGTTCAGTTGAACAAATAGGAACTGCTTCCAATTATTTGCTAGTGCCGCTCTAAAACATGAGTTTTTAATTAGCAGGGTCGACTCAACGCCATGCAGTGCTAAGAACTTATTGATTTACAAGTCAATGCACTGTTAAGTCTCACTTAGGTGTGAACCGTGCGTTCAATGAACTACATTATTTGTGTTGTTGCTCTTAACGGTAATACTATGTTCACTGGAATAGTGCTAAAAAATGTAGCTTCGATTTTGCTTCACTGGAGCACTGGAAAAGAAATTAGCAAAAATAATTCTTTGGATTTGATTTAAAGCGCGGCGCGTGCTGACGTCTTTAATTTGCAGTCGTGTTTTTGCTGATGTTGTTCCTTCTGCTATTGTTGCTGAGCTGTATTTTAATTATGTCAAATTTGTTTTGTTTTATGCTACATTTCGACGCAGCAAAATGTCAGCAGCCAATTAGAGAGTGAGGCGAAGAATGTAGAGTCAAGACAAGTCAAGTCACTCAATGTCATTCAGTTACACTGAGGCAGACAACAACAAGAAGCCTTGGAAGCTTACGTTACAGGTTGCTTTCACTTACAGTCCCAATCCCCAGTTCCTGGGGTCTCAAGCCACTTCAGCGTCCCCCACTTCTCAGCCGCTTGTCGATTCAACGGCAACATTGCCGTTGCGCTGCTTGGCCTTGGCGTCATTTGCATAAGAAATTTATCTCAATGAGTAGCTAATTGGGAAATTGCGACATGCCGACTGCCATAGCTGCCCCATCCTCGTTGCTCTGCCTCCTCTGACACCCAGGTGCCGACAATCAGCGCTCAAGTCAACAAAAGTGCCATGAGCTGCAAAAAGGGCTGCTTCTCAAAATC